ACACACACACACACACACACACACACACACACACAGAGAGAGAGAGAGAGAGAGAGAGAGAGAGAGAGAGAGAGAGAGAGAGAGAGAGAGAGGACCCATTCTTTGGAAGGCCTGTGCCAAGGACAGGAAGGAGAAGGGAAGGACACCTTGATGTCACGAGAAGCGGGATCAGCTAACTAATGATTAAAAACGTCTCTGGGGAGGTCACATTGCTGTGGGAAAAATCACTGATTATTGAAAAAGGCAATGGTCTTAAATACGTTTCCTCATCTGGAAAGATGCTAATAACAACAACCTCATGAAGCTGATGTCAGAGAAACATGAGATAATTATGTTTAGCATTTCATGGACTGGAAAATGCTATAAAAATATAACAAGATTAAGAGAGGTGAGTCAGTACTTTGAAAACACTGGGGGTTGTCTATGACTGGAGTTGCCAGAAGTGTGTGGGTCTGCTATTGTCTTCACAATCCCACAGAAAATGCAAACCACCCAACCCAGCCACCGATGAGACCAGGCACTGCCACAGTGTTGATCCTGAATAGTCCCATAATGCCTCCATGGAGGAGGCTTGGCCCCCAGTCTGAGATGCTATTGGAGGCGGTGGGACCTTTAAAGGTGGGGCTTAGAGAAAGGAATTAGACCCTTGAGATTACATCCTGAAAGTGCGCTTTCTGTTTTCCTCTTTACTTCCCAACTACTAGGAGGTAAGTTTCTCTTCTGTTCCACAAGCTTTGGTCATGATGCACTGCCAAGTGACCACAAAGTGACATCTCTCGATTGGAAGCCCAAATCTGCCTTCTAAGTTGATTAGCTCAGGTAGTTTGTCACAGTAACAGGAAGCTGAGTGACACAGACACTAGCCTTGAATGTCTCTGTTGTCTTTAAAATAAATAAACAAGCATAAGCCAAAGAGCAATTTTTTTTAAAACTCCAAACAACGTGCATCATGCCCGACTTCCTGTCACCCTCAATGGAGCATCACATTAGGGCCTCAGCGATGGGGAAATACTGTCCTGAGCTGAGAGTGACTGAAGGTGACCGCCCTGTAGACTGAAGTGTCTCCAGCCAAGAGGAAACTCAGAGAAGGGAAGGAGTGACGGAGCAGGTGGCCAACCTCATCACCTCATTTGCTGTCCACACCAGAGCAGGCTTGGGTGGGGGCAGTGAGGGTGGGAGTTAGTTTACCTTTTGCTCTTCAGCCTGAAAAGGGTGTGAAGTATAAATTACAAATGAAGTAAAATTTTATTGACATTTACAAAGATATATTTCTCATAAGGTGAATGTTTATTGGTATTACACTTACCGTAGCAGATGTGTATGACAGCGGCTGAGGACGCAAAGCTGTAAACGGGGACAGAAGCTTCTATGGGTTGATCTACCAGGAGGCTTGACAACATGTCTCCAACCAGGGCTTGAGTGGCTTTTCCAGAAGTCCTCCTAGGAGCTGTGCAGCGGTCCCCTTTGAGTGACACACTCTACAAGGCTTGATTCTGTCATCTAGATCGGATTAAACTTCTCTTGTGCCCATCAACCACGTGCCCTTTTGTTCTGTTTTTAAAAATCAAAGAAAACTGCTTACTTTCGTGTGCCACGTTAAGTCGTTACCAGTGAGCATCTGGCTTGGGTGTTTTCCATTAGCATGAAGTTTCAGGAGGCCACAGAACGAAACGCCTGCAACAGAGGAGCCCAGGAGAGAGAGAGAGCAGCTCCAGTTGCTGGCCATGCAATGTGTCTTGCATTTCTCTAGTGTAAATAAAATGATAATGCAGAGAGCCGTCCCCGTTCGTGAGTATCTGATTTAGAATAAAATAAAATCCATGCTGGGAAGCTGATGAGCTCGGATTTGCTGAATTGCTTCTCAATGCATCTCGAATCGGCTCGTATTTATCGGCTGTTTCCTCGGGACAATTATCACAGTTGTCTGTTGTTCTTTCTGCTGAGTGCAAAGGGAGAGGGTTTGAAGGTTGCTTTTCATCCCCTATAGCTGGAGGTGACATTTGAAGACTCGAAGCTATTGAGAAGGTAGGTGCTTATGAAAATGTAGTGTGGTTCTGTCTTCCTGATTGTGACCTCCTGGTCTTGCAACTTGCTGCCGAGTCCGCACCAAAGCTGGGGCACAGGTGGTGATGCACCTTCCGAGTTTAGAGAGAGTTTTACAGCATGTTCACCACTGAGTTCTTGACCATCCCTAAAGTCCCTAAGTATTCTCTCAACAGCGGAAGTGCTGAACAGTTAAGAAGTGAGCAAATAAAGACGTGATATTGTGTATGGTGACAGTGACGAAGAGAAGGGGGGCATGAGAAAGGAAAGGAACTGGGGGAGGGGAGAAGTGAAAGGAGGGGGCCAGAAGGTAGCACATAGTCAGAACAACTTTGGAGATGCTGTGTGTGTGCTTCCCAGAAGAGCGGCTGAGCATGCTGTCGTCTGCAGTAACTACAGGATCCGCAGTATTGACTCCGTTAATTACATCATCCAGGTTCGCTTCTGCATCATCCCTATGGGTCCCTTGTGAGGCCCTCATTGGCCACTCTAATGTGCTGGCTGCAGTGACTGTGCCTGGGTTGGAGGAAGGGAACCTGTGAAGACAGCAGGAGCCCCAGCCAACTGAGAAAGGAGTTTTGTTGGGGACAAAGGATGGGTTATGACATGGACGTGGTGCCTTCTGAAAGCTCTGATGGAAAAGAACAGCTAATGAGGGGGTTGTTGGAGTTAGGCCAGCCAGGGCAATGGGAAGAGCAGGAGCCTTTATCTAGTTAGCCACATGAGCACTGCCTGCTTGAAAGCTCCTACCTTCCCACCTGTAAAGCAGGATTAATGCCTACTTCAAAGGAGTAGATAAACAAGGTCCCCAAGAGCTCAGAGTAAGAAACCAGCACTTACTAGTTCCCAGCGTCTCTTCAGGGCTGACTCAAAAGTTATGCTCTGCAGTATTCTGTCCACTATGCTGGCCATCACATCTGTGAGTGAGGCAGTCTGAAGCTGTCTGGTCCCCGCTGAGCAGGCTCACCAGCAGAGTAAATAAACAGAGACAGGAGAGCCATGCTTCTCCTTTCAAGCTACTGTATTTGTGGGGGTTTGTTTTACAGCAGAGGTGAACCCATCTTACCATACTGTTTTCATTTCATCTTTAGCGCAAGAGCTTAGGCGATGTTTCCACGGGGGTGAGGACAAAGCTCGGTGGTAAAGCATGGTCTAGCGTAGTAAAGGGCAAGTGCTCCACCCCTGTCATACATGTGAAAAACATGTTTGGTCTAAGCATGTAGTGTGTAACATGAATTAGTAAAAAACAAAAACCTGGAACCAGATATTGGGGTGAAAGCTGAAAGATCAGAGAAGCAGAACAAGCCACAGCCAACCTCACCTTGCCAACTCTTCAGCTGATCCTGTTTCCACGAATCCTCAGACTGAAAGCCTCTGAGTCCTCACCCTGAGGGTCTCAGTTTAACTGCTGCTCAGTTCCTGTCTCCTCACTCCTTATATACCGTTCTCCACCCAGCCATGTCACTTCCTGGGATTAAATGTGTGTGTGTGTGTGTGTGTGTGTGTGTGTGTGTGTGTGTGTGTGTGTGTGCTTCCCAAGCAAAGACATGAGATCTCAAGTGCTGGGATTAAAGGTGTGTGCCACCACTGTCTGACTCTGTTCCCAGTGTGGCCTTGAACTCACAGAGATCCAGACGGATCTCTGCCTCCCAAGTGCTAGGACTAAAGGCGTGTGCCACCACTGTGTGGTCTCTATGTCTAACCTAGTGGCTGGCTCTGTCCTCTGATCCCCAGATGAGTTTATTAGGGTACACAATACATTGGGGCACACAATATATGACCACAGCAGTGCATGCTTGTAACCTCAGCACACGGAAGGGTAGACCAGAGGGTGATCACTGCGGTGGGAGGGCTGGGCTACCTACTGGAGACTTACTTCAAAGCAAAGCAAGGCTGGGTGTAGTGTCACACGCCGTTAGTCTCAGCACTTGAGAGGCAGGGACAGGTGACTCTGCGTTAAAGGCTGCCTTGGTCTACACAGTGAGTTCTATCCATGCCAGCCAGGGCTACTGAGTGAGACCTTGTCTCAAACAACACCTCCCTCCCCAATACACCAAAACCAAACAAAAAACCCCAAACAAACAAACAAAAATACACACACACACAATAACCCACAACAAAATAATAACAATTCAAAGATGTTTGATTTATTGAAACACTGCCATAAACTTAGACCTTTTATCTTCTTTCATTTCTAAAATTCTGATTCTCTTATGCTACTGTTCCTTGTTTTTGCTGTTATCGTTCTAGGAGAAAGAGAATGGTGGATACTTCTGTAAAAATTCCACATGATGTACAGTGAGGGGGGCTGGAGTGGGATGTGATGGCAGAGTACCAGCACCAGACAGGACTGGACACTTCACAGTGCTGACTAAATCCCGATGTACCTAAATCTCCATGGGTCCTTGGTCCCGGTCAGATGGGCCTCTGCTAAACTGCTAACCCACATCCTAAAATCTCCCGTAGGAGCCTCACCTGTGGTAGCATGCCTGCCATCACAGTCCTCACGAGGCTGAGGCAGGTGGATTACTGTGACTTCCACCTAATAATTCTGATGTTTCAAGTCAGGTAAATTCCCAGAGGAAGCATCCTTCTCCGGGTAAGCTGTGTCTGGAGAGATAACAAAAAGGAGGCATGGCTCCCCTCCTGCCTCAATGGCTGCTTTCTCTTCTTATTCATTTAATGATTGATTTATGTTCCTTAATCCCAGACTTGCCACCCTTCTCCACCCTCTAGAAAGCAATATCAAATTAAAAGCTATCAAGCTATCTTTACCCTCAGAGTTGGGTGAGGTGTACAAAGGCCCTTTATCAACTGCTCATAGGGACCAGGCCAGACAGACTCCACACTTAACCATGCTTCTTTCTCTCGACTCTGAGCCAGATGTTCTTGTTTATAAAAACTACCACCCCTTAGGAGGCTCTTCTGCGGCTCTGGGTGGGATGTGGGGTTCTGGTATTGTCCTGTGTACTTGCCTGGCTGGCTCAGCCCTTTCCAGCTTCACAAGCTATGCCACAGGCTGGGCCAAGTATCCCAGGAAAGCGCAGTCCGGGGCCCTAGGAGGGAACGTACACCCACCAAAGCTACCCCTGCGAGTAACCAGATCCAGCTCTGGGGCTGGGAGTGCAGGTAGGGGAGGGCTGGAGGAGGGGTTAGGCGGGATGGGACATGCTTAGAGATGGCACAGATCACTTGCAGACCCCACAGAAGCGAATACTCTGAACAGAGCCGCCAAACTTTCACCTCTTCTCATGGTTTCGTCTGTTTCAGCTCCGGCATTGCGGAAGAGAGGATACATTGTTTCCAGCGTCAGTTGCAAGACAGGACCAGTCCTCTTGGAGATGGCAGCTTTTTTGCCTTCTAAAGCAATTTGAATACTCACAGGCTTGCCTTGAAATCAGCATACACTCCATCATCAAACCAACAAACAGACTCAAAACAGAGCACACTAGATAAGCAAAACAAAATCATCAGCAGTCCATCTGGTAGAGGGGTCCAGTGGGTTCTGACATAAAAGAGGAAGAAAACTAGGACGGCAGCAGCTAGCTGCAGAGATGACATCCATGTCTCAGACCCACCGGCAGCCTGGGCTTCCTCCATTTAATCCGCCACCACCCAGCCACTGTCCCGTGCAGGAAGAACTCCAGCAAATATCGACAAGTGGTGTGTGGATCATTTGTGGAAACAGACAAAATTACCCGTTAAAAGGAATAAAGGGTAGTTCATTAGGTAATGGGAAAAGTAAAGAACAGGAAATATGGGGGAAAGGGAAACAGAGAAACAAAAAGATTAAGTTCTGGGGTCAGGTGTCCTGGGTTCTCCTCGGTCTCCTATTTAGCTGTGTTAGCATAGGAAAGCGGCAGAGGCTCTCGGGGAGGGGGTGTGGGTGGACTGGCAAGCCGAAACGAAGATGATGGCCCTTACCAGAGGAGAGAGAGGAGACACAGCACAGCCACAGGGGTCTGTTTTCCCTCGGAAAGACAAGACCTGCGAAGGACAGTCCCTTCATGGCCAACTGCGGAGGCAGGCAGCAAACTGCGGAGGCAGGCAGCACACAGAACGGAAGCGCCGTAGACAGGCAGGGGCATGGCTGGGAAAGTAGGCGACTGCAGCTTTGGGCAGAAGGCTCTTGTTCACATCTGCATTTCCTGAGCAGCACTGTTACCCAGGCAACCCTCAGCTCCAGGCATCTGTGAGGGCTCTGGGGTGGGGCAAAGATGCTTCTGTGACTCTCCTGGGCAGGAAAGCTGGCCCTCACTCTGCTGTGACTCCCGTGGGTAGGGGAGCTGGCCCTCACTCTGCTGTGACTCCCGTGGGCAGGAAAGCTGGCCCTCACTCTGCTGTGACTCCCCTGGGTAGGGGAGCTGGGGGCTTCACCCTGCTGTGGCTACCCTAGGTAGGGGAGCCGGGTCTTACTCTGCTTTACTCTGTTGCTGTTCAGAGTCTCTCCTGTGACAGTGATCACAAACATCATTTTCCTCTTTCTGGTTTTAGTGCTCACAAGACAGAACATTTCTCTCTGGAAAGAGACAAAAGCAGGTGACCACAGTCATCATCACCCCTTACATCGTCTCCTTGTGCTCTGTGAAGTTTTTGAAAGTTGTCCAGGTCCTTTCCTACTCAGTGGGGTTGGCAGGCTCTGAGCTTCCTGCCCTTCCACAGCAAGCCTGAGGAAGGCTGATGGGGTGCAGGGGTGTCGGGAGCAGGGGTGCTCTTTGAAGACCCGCAGTTTGACGTTAGTAGTTTTCCATTTAAAGCTATGATGTGCCTTCTCCACTGACAAGGTAGAGCCTTGCTACCTGCACTAAGACAGCTGTGCTCAGTAACTTCCCACTTTGGGAAATCAGTGACTTGAGGGTCAACCCGCCACGGTTTGTTGGGTTGGATGGCAGAGAGGATAATCAGAGAAATGGAGTTTGGGAAGCCTTAATTGTCACGGGAATTTATACCTTCTTTTCTCTGGGCAAGATTTTTTTTTTTCCTTTCCTCAGCAGCTAGAAATAGCTGCCTAGTAACTGAGTAGCATATTTGTGGCCTGAATTTCTGTACTTAAGCGGGAGATCTTTGATGAAGTTAGTTATAAACAGGGAATTTAAACTCCTGAGACCAGCAACCTGTGTGTAGGTTTGGACGTAAGGGTTTGGTGGGAACCTCTGTGTAGCTGCAGGCTGGCACCCAACCCAAGGCTGCAAGGGTAGATATAAAGAGCAAACCAATGGGTGAGTGTCCTGACCTTGAACTCAACAAAGCAGAGTTTTAAAAAGTGTTATCGGCCAAAACAACTATGTGAAGCAAAGCAAAGGCGTGCCCTGAGTGTGCTGGGTCTCACGTGTGTCTGCATCCCTGTGAGATCATCTTTCTTGCGGAGTCTGTATTCTATCGAATGAATCTGCTTGAAGAGTTGTCCTGAAGGAAATTGTTCTGACCGGCGCTCCACACTCACAGTCCCACCCGGGCAAACAAATGCTCGGTGACGATGGCTGCTGGTGCTGCCACTGCCAACAGCGCTGTTGGCGTTCATCCTTCCTAACCTGAAGGTTGGTGAGACTCAAGACTGGTGAGACGTCGGAGCTGTAGAGATGCTGCTGCTGCGGCCACTGCCGCCTCCGTTGCCGCCGCCCCTGAGGCCCTGGCGCTGCCACACCCACTGCCACTGCCACATACACTGCCACATCCACTGCCACTGCCACACCCACTGCCACTGCCACACCCACTGCCACACCCACTGCCACCGCCGCTGCTGGTGCCAAGGCCACTGTTGCTGCTGTTGCTGCTCTAAGACCCACACAGAGAACCAACAAATAAGAGAAACACACAGAAAGTATTTATTTTAAAACCCAGCTGCTAAAGTCCACCTATGGGAGAACACCCAGTGTGTTGGTCTTTTTGTGATTTCTTCCATGTTACATAATGACTTCTAGTTCTATCCATTTTATCACAAATGATAGGCCATCATTGTCTTCATGGCTGAGTAATATTCCATTACACATACACACTGCATTTCCTTTATGCATTCACTTATAGATGGGCATCTAGGTTGATTCCATAGCTTTAAAAACTGTTGGTTGGAATTTATGGTAGAGATTACTAGAGGCTGAGAAGGGTCTGGGGACCAGGAATGGAAGGGGGTTGGATAGCAAGTATCAAAACACAGCTAGGTTCTAGTGACCTATAGCACAGTGGAGGGGGCACTATGCTTCAAAACGACTTAATATTTTTAGGCTAACTAGAAAAGAAGAGCTCAAAGACAAAGAAATGATAGACAATCATTAATTATTCTGATTTGATCAATACGTATTACGTACACATATGAAATTATCACACCATACCCCATAAATATAAATAGTTATTGTATGTTAATAAAAAGGTTTTAGAATGTTTAATGAGATGGAAATGTTAACTACCTTGATCTGCTCACCATACAGTGGATATGTCTATGGATTATGACACTATACCTCATTAATTAAAATAAAAGACAAGGAGGCCAGCCTGATCTACAGAATGAGTTCCAGGACAGCCAAGGCTACACAAAGAAACACTTTCTTGAAAAACAACAACAATAAAAACAAAACAAAACTCTAAAATACCCAAACCAAAGCAACCAACCAAAGACAAGGAGACCAGAGGGATGAATAAATGGTTAAGAGCATACACTGCATCTACAGAGGACTCGAGTTCTATTTTTAGCACCCAGGTCAGGTGGCTCACAAATGCCTCCAACTCCTGTTCCACGAGAGATCTGATACTCTCTTCAGGTCACACCAGGTCACTGCAGTTGTGTGCACAAACACAGCTCATACACATAAATACACAGATAATTTAAAAGTTGGAACCTCTTAAAAAATAGAAAATGATCCCCCAGACCTCCTATAGTTTAAGAAGACAGAGAACCCTCTGAGAAAAGGAGAAAATCAGGTGGACGGCATATCCACTGGGAGACGATGTCTGACATGATGAGATAATCTTTATTTTCTTAGTAACGACTTTGATGTTTTACAGCTGTGAAGTAAAAAGGCTGGAGCAATTATCACCTTGTTGAAGATCATATATCCAGCTGCAATAGTTAAGTTTCTTTTTCTTTAGAGACGCTTTCTCTACAGATACATAAGAAGCGACTTACTCTAGATTTTGGCCCGATATGGATGTTGCTTTTTGACACATTCTCTTTAACTAAGAGACATCTCTCTTGGAACAACAGCTGGACCTCATTGCTTATACTTGCTAGTTCAGGGATGGAGAGACTGCCTGGGACACGGCCACGAAGCCATTGATGATTCAAGTCACACGGCACTGGTTTCATTGGTTTCCGTTCCCATTAGTTCACTGAACTATTTCCTGAGAACAACTGCCTGGGTCAGCCAGTGGGCACAGCACTGATAATGATGGGGTTCTGGTGTGAAGTAGTCAATCAGAATGTGTGCTGTGCTCTGCACTGGTGGGCTAACAGCCCCACTGATGTGCATCTCCACCACCTCATTCTTAGCTTACATCTGGAGCAAGACAAGATTTGGCTGTCCACAGCATTCCTTTATTTTTGTACGCTCCTATTGTGGAATATTAGTTTGAGATGTGTTACATTCATTTTTGCTGTGGAACATTTGTTTTAATGATGAAAAAAATGTGTTGCATTCTTTTATGTTGCAATTGTTTAACTCTGAATCTGTGTTACTTTGCCTGTTTAAAATACCTGATTGGTCTAATAAAGAACTGAACGGCCAATAACAAGGCAGGAGGAAAGCTAGGCAGAGCTGGCAGGCAGAGAGAATAAATAGGAGAAAAAGAGGAATCGGGAAACAATCGAGAGAGATTGAGGAGTGAGAAAAGAAGGGACCAGCCCCCCAGCTACACAGCCAGACACGGAGAAAGAAGTAAAGAAAGATATACAGAAGAAAGAGAAGGAAAAGGCCAGAGGTAAAAGGTAAATGGAATAATTTAAGTTAAGGAAAGCTGGCTAGAAATAAGCTAAACTAAACCTGGGCATTTAAAAGTAAGAATAAGCCCCTGTGTATTTGTTTGGCAGCTGGGTGGCGGGCCCCTCAAAGAGCATAGAATAAAAACAACCAACTACACACTCCCAAATTTATAAATTTCTCCTTGTGTGGAGAGGAAGCTCTGTGCCCTGGGATGCAGGTGTGGAGGGAAAGCATGGCATGTCTAGAGGAAGCAGAGACAGAGTTCCCTGCTGTTGGTGCTCTGAACCAGAAAACCAAAAGATACACACATGGCACCAGTGGACACAATTGCCACCGACTGTTCGCCTCCAGGGAGAGCAGACTAGATGCCGTGGTTTGCTGTGGGCGGTGTGTTCAGGGATGCAAAGATTCAAAGGAGTTGGGAGAAGTAGATTTCAGGATAGCAAATTCAGCAACACTGTAACTGTGGCAACAGAAAGTTCATGACCACACCAGGATCTTTTCTGTGGTGGACACATCATCAAATCCTCACAGAGATGGATGGAGCCGGCTTGGGCCTAAGCTTGCCAAAGTTAGTACACAGAAATACAGGAAGCCAGTGAAATTTGAACTTGCAGATCAATATCCTAATTTTTATATTAATTTTAGTGTGATATGCCCCAGATATGTGTGAGACACACCTACCTTCAAATTCAAATCAGAGGCACGTTCTGTGTTTTATCTGGCAACTCGATAGTTGGAGGGCTCTCCCAGAACCTGGACACAAACAGCGGACAGCAGCCCCATCAGATTTTACACTCAGCTGTTTTTTACTTAGTGACCCATAGCTGACTCTGAATGGCTAGGTAGAGTTGCCTCTGGCCAGAAAGTGGTAAGAACCCAGCTTTCGTGTCTTATCCAATGCACCCTTTTTGTAGACCAGGGCTAAGAGCACAGAAACCTGGGAATTCTCTTCTCGGGAAGCCTGCTCAGAGGAGGGCGCAGCAACAGTGGACTGGCAGCATTGCAGTCCTCCAGGCTTCCCTTCCTGCTGGCGCGAGGCTCCTCCACCACCCATGCCAACCCGCTGCACACCACCTCTGTCTTCATTCTTGTTCCCATCATTCCACAGCCCAAAACTATAAAATTATAGAAAAACATGAATCCAGCTGGAAGAGAAACTTTCTGACAGCAAGTGCCTGACTGGGAAGTTAGGCTGTCTTGTCTTATCGATGCCTCCTTTTATTTAAGAAGAGCCATTGCCTTTCCCATCCTAGTCCTTCAAACCAGGTCTTGGGGGTGCCCTGTTCTCCCCATGTCTCTCCTTGTCTCTGGTTCTTGAGCTCAGTGCCAGACTGAATTTGGCTTTGCCTGTTAGATCTGTCCCCAAAGATGTCTGTAATCCAGAAGGCGGTTAGTGGTTCGTCTGACCTATGCAGAGTCACAGAACCAATAGGGTAGAGACCGTCATATGAGAGGTTTATTACAGGAACTGGTAGATGCAACCGGGCAAACTCAGAAGCCCTGCGGTGTGCCACTCAGGGAAGACAGAGAACCAGGTCAGATCTCCCACCTTGAGAAAACATGATCAACAGTCGGGTGGTGGTGACTTGTGAGCAATCAGTCTTGAGTTCGAATTCTACTTCTCTAATATTGGGATTATTAGTTTGGGTTCCATGATGCTGAGTCCACACGTGTGGTGTAAGTGATTTTGGAAGAGCCAGATGGGATGGTGGGAGCTGGGCAGAGTCTGCTGTTATTATTAGGCCCTCATGGGCTACTATGATCCTAGATGTTTAATGAGTGTTTCAGGAATTGAAAAGCATTTCCACTGAGTCAATCGATCCAGTCAAACTAGATTGCTGAATAATTTCCAAGGCATCAAGTTAAAAACATACTCAAATTGGAAAACCAGACAGAATGGCCTGACTTCCTCTGCAAACAAGGGACCTTAGCTTGGTCCTCATGTGAAGAAGTGAAGGAGGAGATGACCCTGAAGTTGGCCACTGAGACCTGGTGCATTTATGGTGCCGAGGGATATTTGGTAACCTATAGTGAACCAGCTCTTCCCAGAAGGTACGACTTTTGTGCCGCTGGGGACTAGTGCCAGAAGTTCACCCCAGGCTCCAGCTAGGGAGCACACAAAGGCCAGGTGTGGCACTCGAGTGACTTGGGTGTGGGGAGCAGTCTTTGGTGAAGTGGTTACTTATATTGTTCTATTATTAAATAAAACCCTGGTGTCAGACATTGGGATAAAAACCAGATAGATCCAAACAGAGGAACGATCAGCTGATGATCGAAAGGCCCCCCTTCCCTGCATCTCTCTAAGCCCCTCCCTATTCCTTCCTGTGGCTCTCTGTCTTATCTGGGTCCACCAAAAACTCTATGGTTAATTCTGGCCAGCTGAGTGTTGACTCTGCCTTCTGATTCAAGGTTTAACTTTATTGACAGTCTTGGGAGTGTCAGAGTGTGATCAAAATATCCCACAACATTAACATCCCACAGCATTAATATCCCACAACATTCTGGTCAACTCCAGAAGTATTGGTGCCCAGAAGTGGCTCAAGGGGAAGATTTAGAAGCACACAGCAGCAGTCTCCTCCAGAGAGAGCCCCACAGTGGGAAGGAAGTGCTTTGATTCAAATGTCCTTAGTAGAGAGAATGCTTGCCAACATTTGTACTGATAGAACAAGTATTTGTGCCAGTAACAGTCTCCCCCAGCCTTGTCCGCCTGCTCTGCTCTGATCCTCAGAACTTTGGGTT